CTATAGATATTCTAGTCTTCTCGGATAAGGACGAATAAAATGGAGGTCCCGTCTCCTGCAGGGTTAGGGGAAGGAGACGTTAATTTCCCACACACGAGATTACTGTGTGATGGATGTCCTCCCCTGGGGTGGGATGTGTGGGGGGGGAAAAAGGTGAGGTCGTTAAATGGACTAAAGCGGCTGCCAGAGGCGTCTGATAATGCTGACGTCCGATCTCAACCTTAGTAACACTGTAGACCTTAGCAATTCAGCCTACGCTGCTATTAAGGTATCGAATCATTCACTTTCACTTTCACTTTCACTGTTCTCAGATTCTAAACAAAGTGTTTTTGTTCTTGGTTTAGTTTTGTGTTCCTGTTTTGGGTTGGGATCGTGTTCTGGATTTTTGTGTAGCACGATTTTGCAAAGGCATTTTGTTTTGAGAACAGTGGGGGTTTCGACTGTTTGTGGTTAGATTGCAGTTTCTTTGACATCGGGTTTTTCACTAAGCCGTATGTTTTGGGTTGGTGGTTTGGGTGTGCCAATATTTTATAAATTGTAGTGATTTTATTCTAAATGTTTTTTTATTTTGCCATATTCCTGTTGGCCTCAACAGGTGACGAGCCAATTCTTTCTAAAACAAAAGGGAGAAAACGACGAGTCAATGAAGAACTCGTTTAAAACATTTCGTGCGGGAGCTATCAAATCTTCAGCAAAAGGTGAACAGCGTTTTTTTTAATTCACCTCCCAAACATTTCATTAATAATTTCAGCAAACAATGAAAGGCACTCGGTTCAGATTCGCTGCTAAAGAAATCAAATCAAACTCCACAGGACGTCGCTTTCAAGCGCTAATTCAATTTGTTTAAAAATCCGCCTAATTGAACTTATATAAATCTCATCTATCGACCTGTTACGTCATGTCTATCTTTCTGTCAATTTAATATCCAATTTGACAGTTGATAAATCTGTCCAACGTACCTATTGTGGGGTCATAGCTGTCCGAGAACTCTTGGCAAACGGATCGAATGCTCAAAGCTGAAAATCAAGATAAATGAACAAGGTAAGTCTACTTATGTCAGCACAAGCGATGAAGTGGCTGTTGTGTCCATAGTTATGTTGTTATATTAACCCTCGGAACTGTTGCCTCGGCGCGCGTGGTTTTCATATGAAATTCGAAATGTGGCTAAGGTATAGTTTTCTCTCCAATCCTTAAACAATTATTTGTCTTGATCGGGACCAAGAGGAACTGACATCGTCATCAGATACTTGTAATGATACAACTCGCCTTATAAAAGCTGTATTCGTTGATTTAAGCATTCACATTTCGGCTTTGCGTTCCTCTTAAAAGAATAATTGACACCGTGGCATAACTTTTCATTATAGTGCGCTGCGAAATGTTTCTTTAAACTCACATCTGGCACATCTGGGAAAAATTCCTTGTTAAATACATGTGATCGTTTCGAAACTTAGGAATATTTAAGTTTACAATTAGATTTCAGGGAAGCCCTGAAGTCTTCATTAAAATGAGTATTTCTATACTTATAAAAAAAAATTATTTTACATCTTATCTTAAGATGAAAAAGTAAACAACGATTTGTCGGAAGGGGTGCTTTTTGACTATGATAACAAAATGGGGTATCTGTACACGTCGCCAACCGCAGGGTCATCACCGGTAATTGCTGCACTTAGATCAAATCTTTCCTTGATGTTTTCAAATCCTTGATATACCTTTCGTCAAAGTAGCGAACGATGTTTGGAAAGCAAATGAAGATTAATGGTGAGAGCATCACAGCGGTCTTTATGATTATGATGAAAATTTGACTCTCACTTTGACGAACAGATTGGAAGACAAGTTCTATTTACATTCGACCTCGTTGAGAAAACGTTTGAAGTTATCTCGTGTTTCTCATGCAGGGAAGCACGTCTGAATCAGTTTAAAATATCTCTAAAGCCGAATCTGCTTTGCGATAAAACGTACAGGCAGTTTCATTTCTTTAATTTTACTATTTGTAGAGGGAAATGTAGGCGACCCTTTAAAAAAGGATATTTTGATACTTGAAGTTCAAGTGAGAGTGTCAAGTGCGCTTTCATCACCCCCACTGACTTACGAAAAACTCCAAATAACGCAAAAGACTTGAAATTGTATCTTGTGGACATTTCAATCGGTCCTTTCGTGGCCTGATTTTACCTCTGTGAACAAACGATGGTCAAATTAACGATATTTCACGCCGCTAAGTGATGAAAGTATGCACTGAAAACAACACGCAATACCCCTCTCTGCGTGATAACTTCAGCTCTCTTTGTAAACGGATAGCATTGCTTAAAGCAGCAGCGGGCACTGAATAAGACGTAACGCTACTTCTGTGTATTTAAACAATAGATTTCAGTGTTAATTTAACTAATTTTGTTAATTTGGACAAGCAAACACGTATTTGTGTCAAGAGTAATAAGCAGATATTAGTGTGGACTTTTCGCTCCACTGTGCCATCTGTCTTTTATGGCATTCAAATTTGACCTCTTTAGTAACATCTTTTGAGAGAGGTATTTCACAAATCTTAATTTTATTATAAGTGCAAAGCTATAATTATACGAGCAGGTTACCGCAAAAAAATAAACCACCCACTTTCATTAGATCGGCTTTCATCCTGACTAACTTGAGGCATCCGCGTTGAATGGGACTGCGTGATCTCGATCTTGCTATTTATGCCTCACCCTTGATCAGAAATATTTATGCGTGAAGCCTACTCTCAAACTTTTATTCACGGCCATTACAACTCTTAGCGTTATAAATGACATCAAGAGGCGGTAACTGTTTACACATTATGCGTTTACTAAGCATGCAAAATGAGCCATGTTCTCTTGCGAGACGATCGACGATCGGCTATCATCTTGATTTAAACTCATCAAAGACTAAATATACTCTACCAGATTTAGGAAATAAGCAGTTAACATTATCCGTCTTTGCAGACGAAACTACATCAAGTCAAAAAGATCATCGAATTGTGGTGTATTGTACTGTGCCCTTCAAAAGCTATCTGTTGTCATCATTTACAGATCTTAATCAAAGATTAAATAAACTGCCTTTTGTCTTTTTATCGAGATTGTGATGCTCCGCAAACATTCCACTCCTTTAATTCGCTAATTAAAAAGACACCCAGTTGAGAAACTACCGCTTTCAGGTCACGTTTTTAAAAAAAAAAATGCTGAAGCTTAGAATGAAACTAAAAAATAGATATTTCTAGTTAAATCAAGATAATAAGCAAATCAAGACTTTTCTCTAGTGAATCATAGCATTTGATAATGATAGAAAAAAAAAACAGTCATCGGAAGATCAATTGCACGATTACTTAGGATCTAAACCACGAATTTCCGGTTGAGTGAAAGTAGATGGGTGATATCAAAGTTGTAGTTACACAAAAAAGCTGTCGATATGATGTTAATTCTGGCATTAATCTTCAAGTGTATCATCAGGAATTATTGTTTAGGGTTAAAAACAGTCGACAACTTTTGGCTGGGTGCAATAAGAAGGTTCCTTAGGCACAGGAGCCATTCAGTGAGGAAAATATTGCATTTTGTGACAATATGGCCTTTGTTTTTCTTGGAGATCGTTGTTTAGCTAGCTATCGTGTCCAAATGGCAGCGATTTCACATACTAAAAGGGTCGTAAAAACTATTTATTGAAAGCTGTCAGAGCTGCATTTCAATGAACGATTCAGTACAGCGTTGTGGACAGAACCTAAACAAATTAGACAGTGTTTTCTATTGATGCATATGTATTTGATGATTCCATTTTTAAAAACCGCACACGAAAAGACGAATTTCAGGAACTTTTCCCTCATCAACTTCCTGGAGCACCACTTTGAGTTTTAAGAGGGGAGAGATGTTCTCGATTGTCTTCAGCAGGGAACAAAATTTCCTGGGTCGAAATAGGCCTACAGTGATTAAAAGGTTTCCCGTTCTCCCGTTTCTGTCTACATTTCGGGCATGTTTCCCAATTGCCTAAAGTGATTTGAATAGACGATCCTCTCGGATTGTATGGCGATCACGTATTTAAGGTGGTAACACGCTGTGATCTGTGCTTCGCCTCAAGTATGCTGGTGACTTGCAACGATGTCCTTAGTTGAAGAGGATTTAAAGAAAATCAGGAGCGCATTGTCATAATCCAAAGGGTCAGTCGGACGAATAAGACTCAAGCACTGTAAAAAGGTCTTCCGCTCTTTATTTCCCAATCGTCTCAGGATAGAAAGTATTTTTTTTTAAATAGAGAGTTTAAGATTTCGCGTGTGTGTATGGCAAAAATGTATTTCCGCTAAGCACTTCGAAATGATTGATGTTTTTGGAAACTTCAAAAGAGAAAACAGGTGACCATGTCTTGGTGAAATGCCAACAGCGGGTTCGGTCAAGAACGAGCAAAACAACCTGAACTGTGAAACATGCAATTTCAGGGCCACTCCGTTGGCATCAAGAGGGTAATCAACAAGTGTAAAACTGATTCGCTGATGTGTAAGATGAACACAGTTCACAAAAAGTCTTGATCAAAGTTTATTTGGTCTAAAAAAATCTAATCGTAAAAGTTCCTTTGTTTTCCGTCTCGTTTATTGGGGTATTACTGCGGTTAACTCAGCAAGTCAATAGGAAGGCTTTAAATCTACCCTGTGGATTCCAAATAGAGGACAAATATCGCAGTTCAGAGAGAATAAGAGGTAAAGTCACTTGTTTTAGAAATTTGAAGAGCTTAAAGAGTAACATAGTCCTCGAGAGCCCAACAAATGCATTTTCAAGTGAATCAAATAACCACTCAGGTAATGTGCCAGTACTTCTGCTATTTCTACAAGTAAATATTGTGTTTCTCCTTACAACATTGGCAAACGTTTTTCATTCTGCTTGAACTGTAATCAACAAATGGAGCGTGTAAACTATAGAGCAAAGTCATTATCCAGTCTGAAAAAGTTGTAGGCTGTTTAAAGTTCTAGCTTATTTCAGTAGTAGCTATCATCATTTTAGACGCTGACTGAGTGACTAGTACGTAATTACGCTGATGGAACGATGTTATGTTGAGCGGCAAACGGTAGCATAAATGTGCATAGAATAACTCGAATACTGCGTCGCCACGTCGGCATGGGGATAGCAAGGTTAGCTGGGCTTCTCAAGTTTTACTTCAGTGAGTGTTTGAGTGGTATGGTTTCTTTAGCAATCTCAACAAGCTCTTGAAACTGGTTCCATATCATATTAGAAACAGAAAGGTTTACAAAATTATTTCATAGTTAACACAGTAGTTATGATCAAATTCAAACATTCACTGAATTGGTTAAACATAAATGTACATAAGCAGGAGCCCGCCATTATTGGGCTTCAGACAGCCTAAATCAGTTACTATGGGGTTTGCCGTCGATTAACGCACTCAGCTTGAATTACTACTGAATAATCATTCATAGAATTCCAAATTCTTAAGGAAGTGAAGGTAGCTGTTTACAGCAAGAGAGCAGGATCTTCAATGGTCAATAAAACTGCAAGAAATAAATACTTTCAAACTGGATTGATTGCCATGAAACCAACTTCGTAACCATGGCTAAAAAAATCCGTTTAAGAACTGAATTAAAATCTGTTTGATTGGATGTACCGAGGCAGAAAGTTTCCACAAATTATTGTGTTCAGTGATACTGTTACTTTTGTTGTTTCATTTTCTTATTATTGGGGAAAGATGGCTGGCAAGATCAACCTTTTCCCTGTGATTGTAGCCTTCCTAAGAAAGTAAACGCACACGTTATGCCAATTCTTGGAGCCATCTTAAAATTATTGTGGGATGTTTATCGTCTTCAGCTGTAGTTATTCCGAAACAAACAACAGTAGCACCGGGAAACAGTATGATCACCTGCTAATTCCGAGTAACATCCAAAGCGATCTGAAGAAATCTTCACCAAGCGCTGAACGACCGAAGATGTTCCGAAACAAACTAAAGCCAGAACCGAGGAATATCGAGTAACGCTCAGCAGATTTCGTTGTGAGATAAGGGGTCGTTCGAATATGATTGTTACACTCACCCACTCAACAGGACAACATTATGGCTTCGCCTCCAATACGTAGTCTCCCTCATAGGAGGCTGTTGTCCTAATTAAACGAAGACCCACACAAGACGCTAGCGTGACATTCTTTACGACTTGTTTGTCACTGATCAAAGGCCACCAAGGAAGACTAGATATTGGTACACATTAGTATCTAAGCACGTCGTTGACGCAAAACGTGTAAATCGTGCAAAACAACCCTGATGATTCCAATTTCCTCTTCATTGCGGCTTAGTCATATCTAATTTGAAACAGATCTTGCTGGCTAGGAAAGTGACAGCTAATCTAGACACTTTTGCCGTCATCAATGTATGTTTACTCGACACCGTTCATAAGATGTTGACAGGGTTAAAATCCGATGAGGTTTTTTTATGGAAATTTTGCGAATACATAATGTCTATAAGTTTATTGAGAAAGGAACGCTTGCATTTTCCCCGCAAACAAAATTCTTGCGTGCAAACTACATTTAGATAACTTGATCGTAATCTACCACAAGGACTCTAGGTCACGTTTGAAAGTTTGGGTGACAGCCTCTGGCGAATTACTAAGAAGCATTCATTATCATGTAAAATGTTTTACTTTCGTTTCTTACAATGAAAGATCCCTTCGGCAAGGTATTCTATCGTATATGGTAAACGAAACTTATGGAGTATAAGTTGCAGGCTTTGAGATTGTTAGATTCAATTATCCGCAACACTCTATCACAGCTATGAAAAGTTCGTTATATTGCAGAAGATATCGAATCATAACAAATTGCACTTTCACTTAGCACCAGTTCAGCAACAGCTATAGATCAAAGCTTTTAAGTCATACAACTCACCGGACTTTCCGACACCTGCTTCGCCGAAAACGATGACTTTGAACGGTTTGCAGTCCGGCATATCGTGATTTTCATTCATTCTCGCTGGTTTTACCCTCCTCTCCAGACTTGAAGTTTCGTTTTGGCTTTAGACCAAAACAAATGCTACGATTTCCGAAAACTTTCCCAAGCCTGATGAAAACGACTATGAAGCTTACAGACCAAAACAACACATTATTATCTTTGCTAGAATAACCAATCGAAAGATATTGTTTCTTCTGTGCTTTCTTGAAGCTGAAGCAGCATTTGTGGAGAGCGAAAGTTGATTCTGACCTCATTGCGGAAGTCGCACCGTGATGGAAAGCGTGAATGTTCCCGTGACATAACAATAAACATGAAGTATGACATTTCAAGTTCCCGATGCTTCTTTTCTATACGGTGTTTGTATCGGAATGCATACGCCCTCGACCACAAGAGAACTGACGAAGAATAAAGTGCTTTTCTTAATTAGTTTTTCTCGCATTTGTCAAGAGATTTTTTTCTACGTACAAGACTTCAATTCTCCAGTATATGCAAAGGTAGGAAACAACAGCCGGAAGTAGTCTATTTATTGAAGTTCCGTCATGATTTTAAATCCCCTAGTACTTAATCCATCTCGATGCTTCATTCGGCAAGAAAAACAAAGAGAAAAAAAAAATGAAAAGTCACTTATGCTCTAATCTAATGGCATTTGCATCCTTTAAAAAACTTGAAGTTTCGTCGTACCAAACATCTTTTGTGTTTAAACTATTCCAAAAACAACAACAGCAAACAAGTCTACGAACTTCGACTAGCCTCCACTTACTAAGCTACTCTCTTGGGTCACAGCCAGTTTATGGTCTCCCAGTCATTGTAACCAGCCTTTTCATCATGAATTGTATACAATATCTGAATGCTTTACTGATGTCTTACTAAATAGATCTCTTACAACTCAGCGGCGGGGTATTGCAGTGCAGAGTTAGAAAGATCGAGGGGGTAAAGTAAAGAAATAGTTCATTAGTATAATTGGAAATTTTGGTTTGACCCCAAGATTTGACGTCAGATGCAATACAAGAAGTTGACAGAACTAACCTGTTCACTCGAAGGGTTGAGCAGGAGGCGTGTTCAAAAAAAAAATTAGGTTCTCATCATGGCGTGCCTAATTTTTTTGGCAAGCAGCCCGATCGTAGCCTTATGGACGTCCTAAAAAACTATGTTATTGTTGTTAACGGTGGTACTATAAATTGTTGTTGTTGTTTATTTACTTATTTTTTGGTCTTCATTAATTTTCTCAGGAATATGAAAGTTAATTCTGGAGAGGATAAAACGGTTTTCGATAGTTTGAAATATTAAGACAAACTTCTTAAAGATGCAAGAACGAAATATTATCATAGTTTCCTCTATTTTGACTATACACTAAATGTCGGTCTAACCATTTCAATTCAGCTGGGATGGAAAAACTTTTGCAGTATATATTTATACGTGTCATTACTGACTACCAAAAAGAAAAGAATGTGCACCGCTCACTCTGATGTTAATTTTTTTATTTTGGTTTGCTTTTTGTGTTTTAATTTTTGTGCAAATTATGTTGCCTTGAAAGCGACAAGTGGACGAGCTATAGCGGGTGAGTTATTAACATATCCATCGTGATCTGTAAGTCGTTGACAATTCTAGGAGTCAAGTAACACAGCTTTCATCTGCGAGAAATATTATCAGTCAAGGCCCTGAGGGACCTATCTTTTATCGTCGGCATTTAAAGTAAAGTAAACTCTGCGATGACTGAAGGTTGCGAAGACAGCTTAATGATAGCAGATGTTACTCACGAGCGCAACCTTGGCCCCTTTTGATAAACAGCGAAGATTATTTTTCAGAAGGCCACGTCTAAGTTTTCAAATGAATCAGGTCCTTCAAAACAAGTCGTTTTCTTTTGTCGAATCGGAAGCGATACGTGATCAGGTGATCCTTTGTGAACATTTTTTAAAAGAGCATTCCTGCCAATAAATCATGAGTTGCAATGAAAGGTTGCGGATAGCTCTGGAGGAAACTCATTTGCCACATGTTCACACTTAAATCACTTGACTTCGGTGTGCGGTGGCCGTAGATTTCCTACTTAAAGCCAAAAGCTAAAGGACCAAAGGTATTTGTCTTTGTCTTTTTTTTCTTTTTCGGCTATAGAAACGTTATGACAGACTAGAGGAGCAACACTTCAACAACATAGGATCTATTTTCTAAATGATGTGGTTTCACTTTCTGCATTCAATTATTTTTAGGTAAACGTTCATTATCTTCATTATACTATGATCCGTTATCTCAGATGTTTAAAACGTCTTTAGAATACTCAACTCGTTACTTGTTGGATCTTTGTTTTGTAATTGTAGAGTTATGCACCAGAACACTGCTTGAAAATCAAACCTGAAGTGACAAGTAGTTCCTTAGTAACATCTTAATAATGGCTCTTATCAAAATATTGTTGTCGAAGTCATTTGTATATTCTACGTCGTGGCTAATTCATTCTTGACTTAGTTCAAATGTGAGCAAATCTCTACAAAGGGTTTGTACAGTGTCGATCATATATTTTATTTACCATTTACAGATTTGTTTTGTGTGGATCATATCTTCACTAATTATTTACCGTTACGCTGTGATTAAAATTATTATCTTTAACGGTAAGGCTTAATCTGTCAGCCAACTCATTCATCTGTTCAATTAGTATTTTCTGTCTACTTTGCATTTAAAGAGTACATCACGTCGTTAGCAAAATTAATTTGCAGATTTTTGCAGATTTGCCCTTCAGACCTTTGTCTTTGTCCTAACAACACTAGTAGTTGTGTATGGATTGCAGTGAGCCACATCTCCAATGGAAGTAGTTTTTTGGATCCAATTTTCAAAGAATCTTATCTATTCAATCATTCCAAGCCTGATTTCGTTAATAATATAGTATCATTCGGAAGATCTCATAAAATGACAACAAAGATAACTGAGGCCCTCAAATTTACGACAACACTTTCAAAATTACCTCACGTCCTAACTCCCCCCAAATAAACTATATCTGATTACAAATTAATGCAGTTTGTTTTAGTAATGTACGTCAGTAAGGTTACAGCTCTTCGTTTCACTACCTCAATTCTATAAATCGCGGCCCAGTAAAATTATTTCAAGTTGCATAAATTCACAACACTCTCCTCTCAACATACCCTGTCTTCGCTATTGTCACTTACAGTATGTAAGTTATGATATCAGTAAGGCCATAAAAAAACGTTGACGATCGGCATTCGTTACCTCACAAATTGTGTTCTACGATTTATAAAATATATACTTTTGAACCCACTCTGAGCTACTTTGTCGAAAGAAATCCGATTGCCCCTCTCAGTCAACTTAATTTAACGTAACTTGAATATCTATGTTCGACTTGAAAGACTGACCTTTTTTCAAAGTCCCTCGGTAGTCTGGAAAAGCCGGAATCCGGAATTCCGACGGAATATTTCAACGTCTGTTTTTTTAATTCAAAACACCTCCGATGATTTTCCGAAGAGCGTCGAGCTCCGAATATACCCCGATGATTAACCGAAAACCATCCGCCGAAGTTACCCGGAGATCCTCGAGGAACAACCGAA